TTTTTACGTTTCTTACAATGTTTCTTTGTTTTTACGAGTTCCTATTCTAGTTCTTCGTATGGCACGAGTTGATTAAAGAGGGATTTCTTTTTTATTAAATATGTTGATGTAGTGAATAATTAATATTTCTTCCATGACAGCTTACTCATCCGAAAGATATATATTCAATACAGCTCGTACACGTTTCAACGACTTTCAAATCCTGCATACCGTGGTCATGTCTAAACTTTTGTTTGTATTTATACCTCAGCCAATTAAAAATTTGTAGAATTTGTGATTTTGTGATCTAACTTACTCCCTTGTTTGTCTAACGAGAACAGTGAGGTCGTTTGGTTACATTATGTTGTTTGATACTTGAATTTTAACTGGCTACTGTAAATCAAATCATATTCTTCTTTTATGACCTCAATGCTTATTTAATACATCTTTTAATTTTCAAATTTTTCGATGAATACGAAATTTTCTAAGTTCCAGCTGTGGTTTTAATTTCAGTACAACCTGAGCATATCCTTAAAACATTTTATTCGACTGACAAATAGGACGCTAAAGCCAAATTACGTCTCGAAGACAAAGCGCTACCTTTTCCTGTTCCTCATGTTCAGTACCAGTTCGAATATCCGCTGGATGTGTCAGTTTTTAATAAAGATTGTTATTACTGTAACTATTTTATTTTTTAAAGTAAACATATTTACCCCAAACACAGGCAAGAACAAGATTGTTTTCACAGTAGTTATTAATTGTTTAGAATACAAATCGTAATAAAAGAGCGAGTGGTATTTGTCACAAGAATCGATTAAGCTGTAGATGTGTTATTTCGTATTCTTCTTAATTGGAACATTTCCGAATATGAAATTAAGTCTGTAGCCAAATTATTTTTTTATCACAAATATTAGGCCTATTGTATTGTAAAGTTTCGCCGGCTTTCGGCGTTTAGACTATAGCAAATGTAAGTAACCTAACCAATTTAAACATAAACCAGTAATGACCTCTTTACCTTTGCCCTTAAATCTAGTTTTAGTTTCGTTTCCTCTAACAGATCTTAAGAACCAAATTTGCAGCTTGTTTGATTTGGATATCTTAATGGTGTATTACCTGTCATTAATCTCTTCAGACTTGTTTTTATTCGTCAATTCACCTGCAAGAAAAATCCATCTAATAATCACGTGACCAACAAACTACGCCGTTTTTATCACGCTAGGCTTATTTGGTTATTGATTTCTGATAATTATGTTAATTATAACTAACCGTGCAGTGAACGGAAATTAAACTATGTTGACCAAGTTATCTCGTTGCGATGAAATGGAAAAAAAACAAAAAAACTTGTGGAATCTATAGTTCTTTGTGTGTGTGTGTCCTGCTCTATTGAAAAGAACATAAACTTCAATCATCTGATGAAATCTTCTTTCCAAATGTTTTTGAGAAGGAGTGTTAGTGAGAATCTAAAACATGGAAACCATTTGTTCGTTCAGCAAACTGATAGAAATCTGAACCACGTTTAGACAAACAGAATCGTATTGTAATCTGTTATTGAGAGAAATATCACTAAAACTAGTATCAATATATAATTTGATTTAAAACTATGGAATTAAAAAAAAGTACCTCGTTATTGGTTCAGAATTATTGTTACGTCCATGAATACGTTTTGTTTTGATTGGTTATTTTGAATTTCTAATATTCAAAACGCCACTAACGTTTCGTACTTATCAGATGGAGTTATCTGAGTCAAGAAATGGCTAAGTTAATTTTTATCTCACCAAGCGGAATTCCGGCATGTCTTAAACGTTGCAAATGAGAAAATTTATCAAAGTTATCTGTAAGTAGTTAAGATGGAAAGTGCTGCAGATAAATGAATGTATGTGAATTTTATATCGAAGTTGTATAATATGCTGTTACGATTACCGAATTAGTTTGTAGCAGTGCATTTAGTATCGGGCAATATAGTTGTAGAAACAAATGTTTTGAGACAGTGTTTACATTTTATAGATAGCAAATGCTCTTTAGAACTGCGCGTGGCTGAAAATAAACTAAGAAGGTCTAGAAAACTCCTTATTTTGATGTAGTGACTCCATTTTGTAAATACTATCATCAATAGCAAAACCCTTACCTTGAGGTTTGAAATGCTACATTATGATCTAGATAGAAAGCAACATTCCAGCTTTGAAGTTGAAAGTGCTATTATGGAGATAGCTATGTCTAGAAAAATAGCTTATTTCAAGGCAATAAGCCTTAAAGTAAAAACTGTCGATTCTCAAGAAATGCTCAAGAAAGATGTTGTAAAATACTATTATGGAACTTTTGCGCCTAGGAATCTATTACTTTAAAGTAGAAACTGTGAAGTCTCGTAAAATCACGTAATTTCAAAGAGAAAATACGTTATAAAGGTTGTTTTGTCCTCAAAAGTTTCATAAAGAACACTTAGAAGAAAAACACCTACTACGTTATGTATTGTAGTTTCTTCTGGTAAAACACTTTTGAAATGGTTACAAAGTCGTCTTTTCTTGCTTTTGTGACAGCTAAATGTCGTTTCATAGTTTGGTCAAACCAAGTTTGGGCCAAAACGAAATACGTCAGGTAGTATCGACAAAACGAATAATCACGATATTAACAATAACTGAACTAATTAATAATTATTCTCAACAGCTCGATTTGTTAGATTGAGTGATGCTGGTAAGAGGGCGTGTGTTTTTCTTTACTGATGTAGGTAACTAGGCAACTGAAGAGCGGTTATGTTCGTTAGGAAACATTCTACGATGTGTCATATCACACTGATCAGACACGGTTGCCAAGGAGACAGATTTCGATAGTTGGACATCTTGAAAACCGAAAGATTTTTGTATTGATTTTTCTGGTTCAAGTAATTTGAATTTCATCGTTATTATTATTATTATCAAAAGTGGTTCAAATAATTAGTTTTAAAGAAATTTCGTATAATGTTAACCTAAAAATAATGTTACAAATGTTACTTATAATCAATGATTAGTTCGAAGTTTTCAAAAACATTCGGTAAACAGCATGAAAATATAACTTACATCTTTCTTTATCAACACGTCCCCCAGTGGCACAGCGATAAGACTTATAACGCTAAAAACCGGGTTTCGATACTCGTGGTGGGCAGAGCACAGATAGCCCATTGTGTAGCTTTGTGCTTAATTACAAACAAACAATTTATTTAAATCCGTGAATTTTCCAACGGAGACATGTTTCATTTGATATGTAATAACATACCATACTAATGATAAATTCTAATTAAAATTAAGATAACTATATAAAACAGGACTGAAAGTAACTTATAAATTAATGAAACCAACTCTATATACAAAACTGAGAACGTACTACATAATGTTATAAACCAATGCTCTCCTGTGGGTCATCGGTAAGTTTATGAACACTAAAGTCTGGGGTTCGATTTCTTGCGGTGGACACTGCAGATGGCCTAACGTGGCTTTGCGCTTGAATAAACAAGTAAACAAAATAAAGCAATACACCCAAAAAGTAAAATCTATAAATATTAGAATTCTTTGATTGATCAGTTCGATCCCCTCGCTATAAACGATAGTTCAGCCATAATTCCAACAATATTTCACGAGTTTCCGCCGGATAAGGATATTTAGGTTAACACTAAATCAATATATTAAGCCAATAATACAAAATTGTATTCAATAATGAAGAGAAACAATGATAATACATAAGAAGAGTTTTAGTATTTCGACCATTTAGTAATGAAATATGTTTTTAATTATTATGTTGAAGTTTAATGTTGTACTGGCGAAAACAAACCAATAAAAGACAATCGCGTGATATAAAAAGGGTTTTATACAAATCCAGTTAGATCTGCTTTCAAAGAAATCAATGATTAGTTAGATAAGATTTGGAGACGTATATAGCTTGAACTGATATCTTGCTGACATGGTTTCATCATTGCCTATTCTGTCAATTCTTCTTATTATATTAGCAATGTGAATTCATATAACGTTATACAAAACATGTCTGGTTTGTTCTGGTGACAGTTTATATGGAATGGTATAAGACAAAATATTGATGGATGATAGGCGTGTGTATTGTTGTTTGGTGAAGTCGGCTGTATGGAGGTTCTAGCCCCACTTATTTCAATTGGTTTTTCTAGACTATATACTTTGTCTTACATGAACGATAGTACAAAAAAAGATATTGATAAAATCATATGCTTTCCGCCAATCATATACATATATATATCGTAAGAAGTTTTTGTGTTCCTGTCGTTATATCTAGTTTTATTTATGATGTGTAAACACACGTGTGTACATTCATAGCATTAATACGTGTATTACATCTCTTTCTCTACTTTAATGTTTCGTCATGCAGACATATTAATAAAACGAGCTTAGAACAACGAAGATAAAACAACAGAAGACTGCTTCTATAGAGCGGTATAATCATCTCAATAATAACGTCTCAACCATTTCATTATGCCCCCCCCCCCCGAAAGAAAAATACGAGCTAACAATTTCGATTATTAAAACAGATAACAATATAGTAATGCTGCAAATAAGTCCTGCTTTTGTATTCAATGTGGTAATCAAGATAAATCCACTAATATAATCTTCTAATACAATCCTCTAATATAATCTTCTAATATAATCTTATAATATAATCTTATAATATAATCCTCTAATATAATCTTCTAATATAATCTTCTAATATAATCTTCTAATATAATCCTCTAATATAATCTTCTAATATAATCTTCTAATATAAGCCTCTAATATAATCCTCTAACATAATCTTCTAATATAATCCTCTATTATAATCTTCTAATATAATCTTATAATATAATCCTCTAATATAATCCTCTAATATAATCTTCTAATATAATCTTCTAATATAATCCTCTAATATAATCTTCTAATATAATCTTCTAATATAATCCTCTAATATAATATTCTAATATAATCTTCTAATGTAATCCTCTAATATAATCTTCTAATATAATCCTCTAATATTAGTCTTATTCTTAACCGTAGATCCTCCTCAGGATGAGCTCTTCCAACGGGATTTTAACTGGCAGTTTCGAAGGAAACGGATGACGTCACTATCTAACAACAGTAATTATTGGTTGCTTGTTCAGTCCACTTCTCCATCCTTTGACCCCAGTCCATCGAAGAACATCACTACACAGATAGGTCAGACTGTCTATTTACACTGTATGGTCAATAACCTCGGTGATAAAACGGTAGGTATTTATGAAACTTTATTGTGTATTTTTAAATAACTCTCTAGTAGCATCATAGCTTTGCAAGTAGCTGGGTAACACTTACTATAATTACACACAACTAAATTCTTTCAAACCATTTTCTACACTGTCTTCTCACTCAATTTTAATCGAGCCAACATGAATATTCAGTTTTCTTTCAACGAGTTTACTCATTTTTTTAGATCCGCCGTGACATCTTAACGTATTGTTCTAAAGTTCACAGAAGTTTCCTGGGTTACAAAATTGTATTTATGTTGTTTGCTCACATTCATAGAGATACTATGATTTTTCAGCTTGTTTTAATATGTGTTACTCATATTCACAGAATTTAGAACCGCCGTGACTTTCAAATTGCTTAATATGTTTTACACAACTTCATAGAAACACCATGGTTTCCATAACGCTTATATACAATTCCACAGAATCACCTCATCTTCTTCATAATTTTCAAAGTATTGCTACTATTTTTTAAGTAATCTTCATTTGTTCTCGTACAACTTCAGTGGATTAGAAGTAGCTTGTTTTTCAGGTTGTTCTACATTAAATGTATACACTTTCTATGTATCTTTATAAAAGCCATCACAACTTAACAGACAGTCTTGAACGAGTTTTTATATAAACGAATACATATATGCAAACATACACCAACCACGATGTTTGAAAGTAATTTTTATCACGTTTTTACACAACGTTTTAAAGCTGTCACGACTTTCTTATCCCGTTTTCGTATAGTTTGAAATTAATTTATTGATTCGCTGTAACCTTTAAGTTTGTGCTTGGCGTGTTTTTACACAACGTTTTAGATCTGTCATGACTTTATTATCTTGTTTCTGTATGGCCTTACCCTAACATTTTCGACAATTTTTCAGGCTACACTTCGAAATTAGATCTGTCATGACTTTATTATCTTGTTTCTGTATGGTTTTACATTAACTAATAGATTTTCGACAATTTTTCAGGCTACACTTCTTAATTAGATCTTTCAGAATCTTACTCTTCTGTTTTTGTTTTACCTTACACAAATTTATAAGTTCACTATATATTTCAATCTGTGCTTTGCGCGTTTCTACCTGATTTCTTACATAGAACTATCACGATTTTCTTATCTCGTTTCTGTATAGTCTTACACTAATCTATAGATTCTAGACAATTTTTCAATCTTTCTTTACTCAATTTCCTAAATCTTTTCTCGTTTTCATGTGTTTTTTACCACTTTATAGTTTCACTATTTCTTTTCCATGCTGTCCTTAGCGTATCTTTACATAAATTCGTAGAACGACAACGCTTCAAACGGTACGCAGTCTCCGAACAAGTTCAATATTGATTCTTTCATAGTAGTTAATGTTAGACATTAGTTCCATTAGGACGTTCAGAAACTACTCATTATCATTGTAAATAGAGTACATAGACATCGGAATTCATCCATCGCTTATTAGAAAAACACCCGATTATTTTACCTTTACACGTTCATTCTTTGTGTACCATTTATTGATTTAATGATATATGTGTTTTTAATGTGTTCCGTTGAATACATAAATAATCCGTTAGAAAAGCAAACAAGTTCCCGTTAAGTCCTTTATTAGTTTTCTATACAAATGTTGTAGACAAACAAACAAATTTTTCACGTAAGTGTTCAAATATATTCTTTTAGCTAGACAGATGCAATAAAATAATTAATAATTGCGAGAGATATTTATTTAAGTTCTTCATAATGTTATACAGACTAATTAATGGATGTAGCGTTGTATAGATTTGGTTAAAGTTACAGTGTTATACATAGTTACTAATTGGTGTAGCGTTGTATAGACTTGTTTAAAGTTACAGTGTTATACAGAGTTACTAATGGATGTAGCGTTGTATAGACTTGTTTAAATATACAGTGTTATACAGAGTTAATAATGGATGTAGCGTTGTATAGACTTGTTTAAAGATACAGTGTTATTCAGAGTTACTAATGGGTGTAGCGTTGTATAGACTTGTTTAAAGATACAGTGTTATACAGAGTTACTAATGGATGTAGCGTTGTATAGACTTGTTTAAAGATACAGTGTTATTCAGAGTTACTAATGGATGTAGCGTTGTATAGACTTGTTTAAAGTTACAGTGTAATACAGAGTTACTAATGGGTGTAGCGTTGTATAGACTTGTTTAAAGATACAGTGTTATACAGAGTTACTAATGGATGTCGCGCTGTATAGACTTATTAAAGGATACAGCGTTTTACAGAGTTACTAATGGATGTAGCGTTGTATAGACTTGTTTAAAGATACAGAGTTATACAGAGTTACTAATGGATGTAGCGTTGTATAGACTTGTTTAAATATACAGTGTTATACAGAGTTAATAATGGATGTAGCGCTGTATAGGCTTGTTTAAAGATACAGTGTTATTCAGAGTTACTAATGGGTGTAGCGTTGTATAGACTTGTTTAAAGATACAGTGTTATACAGAGATACTAATGGATGTAGCGTTGTATAGACTTGTTTAAAGATACATCTTTGTATAAACATCTTAATGGTTGTAGAAATAAACTGTTAAATCCAACTTTTATGCCATTGATGTTATTTTTGTATTTGTTAATGTGTTTGATTATATCATCATTATGATGAGTACATGTGAAACGATATGTTTATTTTATAGTCCGTATTGATTCTTTTTAAGACGTGGGACTATCATATGAACTTAACACTGTTTGTATTCAGCTAAAAACGTGAGTTAACTTGTAGGTGATCGAACACACGAGTAACTACCACATTGTATCAGCATCTTTACATTATAAGCTCATATGCACTGGGATTTGACACGTCTGGCTACATCGTCTAAAACACCCTAGTTAACGTGAGTTAACTTGTAGGTGATCGAACACACGAGTAACTACCACATTGTATCAGCATCTTTACATTATAAGCTCATATGCACTGGGATTTGACACGTCTGGCTACATCGTCTAAAACACCCTAGTTGGGGGACATTCCATTCTGGACGGAATTAATTTAAAAAAAAAGAAAGTAGCAAGAAATTTGGATACATTCACATCATTCCGGACAAACCTGAGTAAAAAAACACAAGTTGGTATCAAGTCCAAGTAAATTTAAGTAAAGAAAACACGTTTGCCTTGAATTGAATAAAATTAATTTGTTACAGTAATTTAGGGCAAAAAAATGTTTTGCTTGTGTACATTTACACAAAAATTTCATATTCGTTTAGTTTTTTTGCTTATTTGAGTTACTTTCAGACATATGGATGGTTATGTAAATGTTAAACATACAACAGGCGATGGTAACATGTTTATATAAACACATTAGTTCGTTCTGATTAAAAATTAAAAAGATTCAGTGCAATGTTGAATATCTAGACGTTTTTTGTTGTTGTTTTTTACAGAAAGCCCAAACACAAATTTTATGTAATTCTTGCTCTGTTTTGTTAATGTTCACAAAATTTCATTGTTTGAAATAAATTGACATCTAGGGAAAAAAATGCCACACACACAAAAAAAAGAAATAGTCTTAGAAAGATAAAAAAATTTCAGAGAACATCAGGAACCCTGAAATAAGTGAAGAAATTGATATTAATCGACGTGGATCTAAGGCCGTTCTTGTTACCGCGGATATTCAACGTGACATCGCTCTTCTTGTTACAACACATATTAGGTTACAGCTCAGTCACGAGAACTTTCAAATTCTGCAGGATGAGCTAGTAAACAAAGCTGAGGTCTGTCACAGAAACCGGAAGAAGAAATATCAAACATGATTTCATTTGGGTGAGTCTTCTGCTTTTTCGGCTAGTTCTGACATAACGATCTGACAAATCACTTGTCGGGCGTCTGTTAATTCACGCGCACAATGAAGAACATGTGGTAGCCGCTCATGCCTGATCTGAGCCTTGAATGATCGAGGCCTAGTCTCGTAGCGGCGGTGCTTTTAGGAGAGCTTCATGCCTTAATGCTTCGCTGGAAAACAGATTAGTCAATGTGTTTGCTTTTAATTTAGTAGTTATGGGCAAATTCTTGTAAATAATATCTGTACTTAGTAGAGTTTTGAATGTTTTTAATCGTTTTTTTTGTACGTCCGTTAAGAGTAGGATACAGCTGTTTAAAATATTATTTTTCTTAGTTGAAAAAAATCTGTATTTTTGTAAATGTTTAAAATTGTTAGATAGCGTTTAAATGTGTTTATTTTTCTTTCCATGTTATGCTTAATATGTTTATTATCGTAAACACAGTCGCCTTACGTGGCAAAATATTAATAGCCGTACCTCTTTTACTTGTGTCTCTAGTGATACGTATTGAGATATTGTTAGTTCACTAACGAAAGATGCAAACCAATCCCAGGATTAATAACTTGAAACAAAAAAACCAAACCATAATTCCTGAAACCAATAATAAAATATGAGACACCAACCTACACATCATTCCTGAAACTAATAATTAAAGATGAAAAATCAACCCCACCTCATCCCTGAAGCTAACAATAAAATACGAGACACCAACCCACACATCATCCCTGAAGCTAACAATAAAATATGAGACACCAACCCACACATCATTCCCGAAGCCAATAATTAAAGATGAAAAATCAACCCCACATCAT